GTGTTCTCCCTTTTACTTGGCATATATTTGTGCTTGTGCCTGCAAGCATAATGCAATTTCAATGTTTTTAGTGCCTTATCCACTAATGTTTTCTCCCTGTCATCTACTTTCATCACTTTGATTTGCAATAGTAGTTTTTGTCACCAGAAAGTGATAATAGATCACCAGATCCATTGTTGGAGCATTAAACAGTTACAAGTAACTGTCACTCTTACAGACTGTTAATATTGGAATGTAGTAACAGAAAAAGCAAATCCTAAGATTTAAGTATTGCCATTACTTTTTGTGTAGATTAGCATGGAAATTATTAATACATAGAATAGATACCTTAAGTTGTCTGTTCTGTACAAGGGTACAAAACTTGTTTCTACTTCCCCCATCTGTGAAGTAGGTCTTGTAAGACATGAATGCAGGACACTTCTACAGTTATGCAACTTGTGAATTAATTCCTGTTTTGATGAACATGATTTAGATACTCATTATCCCTTTTTAATTTAGCAAATTATATTTGAAAATGTCACCTCTATATATTTTTTAACTAAATACAGTTGTATTAAAAGTACAGACAGTGATCATGAATATAGCTTGAAATCATTCTGTCTGCACACACTCTTAATTATGTAATAAGTATTAATGGGACTAGGTATATTCAAGGAGCACTTAATATTATTATAAATTCGGTCCCTGGCTGAAAGGATCCTCCTGTGATCAACCACTAACACTGCATTTTTATGGTGTCAAAAAGTAGGAAGAGTAAAATGCAGCTGTGAGTTAGGGAATATAACCTGCCCCCTCTTGGATTAGCATCAGTTTGAGATTATGCATTAACTTTTCTTTTGTCAATGCTAGTATAGTTTTACCTGGAATTGAAGAGAATTAACCATAGGGGACAAGTAGAAGGAAGGCTATTTTAAAGATAAAGGATCTCTTTAGATCCTTTATCCTTTAGAAGGATCCTTTATCTTTTAGATAAAGCAGACATAGTTCGAAGAGTAGGTGGTTTTTTTTTTTTTTTTTGAAAGGAGTAAAACATGGGGCAAAAGTAGTTTATTCCTTACATAACTCTAGTTATGTTGGTATAGTTAAGTTGGCATGTCTACACCTTGAAGCAGTTAGCTATGTCATCTTTGTCCGAAACCTAACATTGCCGTCTAATACATTTTTAATATAAAAAAGATCTTGAGTGACAATATTGAAAGATTGGTATTTACTACTTTAAAAATGGACTGCATATCCATGAAGATATCAGCTGATAGCTTCGTTCTGGAAACATTCCTGTGAGGATCCTGCTTTGAATAGCTCAAATAAATGCAAAGCAGCAATCTTTGTCATCAGAGATAACAGACTTGTTTTCTTTTAGGTAGCAATGCAAGAACATAGATTCATAATCTGCTTACAGTGTTAATAAAGAATGTGAAATTTCACATTCTTTATATAACTTGATTGTAACCACAGTGGAACTAGTGGCATACAGACATGCATGAACTGTATGATCACTAAGGGTAAATATCCAAGAGTTATTTTGCAGAAACTTTGTTGCTGTTTGTATTTAAATTTTCATTATATTTTCTGTACATGCTTCTGAGTTGAAGTAGCACGCGTGACTGACTTACACTTGCGTTGATTTTGACTGTTCAGTAAGTCACTGGGAGTGTGTTTCTGAGAAGCTGGAGTTTTCCCTTATCAGTGTTAGTGAAAATAATTGAACTAGTCAAGTTTTAAAATGCAGTTACTTTGGAACAGAGGTGGCAGAGGTATGCTGAAAACTTTCAGTATAATGTGTTTTTACATATGGAACAAAAATCTTTGATAGAATGTGTAGTCACTAGATATGTTAATGTAGGGTCTTATGTCTGTAACTGACAACAGTTGTATCAGGCCAATTCCCTTTGGAAAAATATTGACAGAAGATGAATGGGTTGTCATGCAGAATAGACCAGAATCCTTATCTTAGTATCAGATACGTGGCTCCTGCGTTCTGTGCCACCAGCCCGCGGTCTGTAGCGAAGACTGTAGTAACACAGTAACTTTTTTTACGTTTTTGTTTCTGTGTAGGATTTACAAATACTGTAATATCTTGATCTAGGAACTGAGAAAGAATTTTAACTTTTACCATATCTCAATCTGAAAGAGACTTGAGTGGTCTTTCTTATAAAACTACATTTTCTTTATTATCATTTAATTTATAGGGACGAGTCCTCCACTCCTCTTCCTAGCATTCCCCTCCCAGCTCATTACTCAGTAAGAAAATCCTGAGACAGGCTTCGTGGAGAAGGACACTTACTAAGCAAGGTCTACCTAAAAGAGAAAGGAACTCCTCCCAGAGAGAGGAGATGGTCGGCGTTTACTTTATTTACTTTGAAAATTTTTTTTTTTTGAATTTTTGCTTCCTTAAATAAACATGTCTAAGTTACCAGATAAAAAATAATCAGCTCTTTTTATCTTACACTTTCAAGTGAGAATTATCTTGAAATAAGATAGAGCAATTATGAAAAGGGAAAGTAGACAATAAATAAAGGAGTGGGAAGGGGCAGATTAAAATCTGATTTGACCATCATCTTGTCAGAAGTTGGAAGCAAGATGGATTTTGTTAAAGTTAACATTTGTGACATTGCACTCTGTCTCCTAGCCACTAGGACTTGTAAAAACCTCAGTTTCACTCTAGTTCAGAAGAATGTAAGTGTCTATTAGCTAAGACGTAAGCACAGTCTGGCTACTTACCCCCGCTGTTTTCAATGAAAGCATTGGATTTATATACCTGGAAATTAGCGTTATTTCCCAGCTTACCATATCAAATGACTTTCTAACACTTGGAGAAACACCTTTTTAAAATTTGAGTACTAGTTATTTTTGGCTACTTTTTTTTTTCCTGAAAGACTCGCTTTGGTTTTACCTTATCTGTTTGCTAAATGAGTAACAGATTCTGCTATTTGCAGCAAAGGCAAGAACTGGATGTAATTTTTAGCAGTTGTGCCGTTTATTGTGCAGTTACGCACAATCACTAGAGTAGGAAAGTAGGTGTAAGCTTTGCCTGATAACTCTGGCATTTTTACCAAAAGTGACTGAACTTTGCCTCCTTCCAGATTTCCATGTGCATATTCTCTAGTCCCTTCTGAGACCGTTCCTGGCTCCTTGCTGGTTTATTTCCTTTTATTATGGAGGAATATGCAACCCATGTAGTAGTGGTGGAAGCAGCAAGACTTCATTGTGAGCTGTCTGATGCAAGGCTAGTGGGGGTGTGTTTTTAATCTTATTTTATTTTTTTCTTTACCTGTTCCAAGAAGCCTGCTGCTTTAGGCAGCTGTATACTTTGCATGTGCTTAGAGTCAGCCCTGCTTAGGTTGCAGTAAGAATTTACCTATAACAAGACTACAGCATTTTTTTTAGTGAAAAAACATGTTGCTTGGAAAAAGTAAATCAAGCACACTTTGAGTCTTTCCTAAGTATAATTTTAAATAATCTTTTCTTGCCTAGTAACTTTTGAAAAATGTTAGGTTCCCTGTGAGTCAGCATATTAGCCTCCTTCAGAAAATCAAAACTGACCGGATAGGATGTTAAGGCCAAAACGAGTCATGATCCTTCCAGCTTATTTGTGGTCAGCAGCTTGGTATGTTTTGCATTTACAAAGCCAAGAAAAACAATTCTGTTGCTTAACTCTTTAAGTTTCGGAAAGGTCACCCAGACTGAGGTTTTGGGTTGCTATGTATACAATTTCTGGATGATGCTTCAGTTGGCGGATTTATGTAACTATAAGATCATTGTTACTTACAAAATAATCTTGATTCCTTTGTATGATGGAACAATTTAAATTCCACTGAGACGCAGACAAATTGCTAGCAAATTTTGTAGGAGCAAAAGATCTGGGAAGTAGCTGTACTCCTGAGAGACAGCGCTTAAGAGCAGTGACTCTGAAAAACACTTAGCGGTCCATGGTGACCAGACAGAGTCGGCATGAACTCTCGCTGTGCTACTGCAGGAAAAGATGCTGTTTGGATTCTCTGGACGTGTATGAACAGGGCGTAGAGGATGGGAGAGCATTTTATGACTTTGCTGATGAAGGGGATGTTTCCCATATTTTTTGCCTACATTTTAAAAAGAATGCAGAAAGACCAAAATTGAAGAGCTGCAAAAATGACCCAAAAGTTGCGTGAGGAGCGACTTGTGGTAAGAGATGTGAAAAGACCTCAGCCGCCTTAGGTGACTAGAAAGAAGACTCAGGGGTGCCCCGTGGCTGTCGTGAAAGAGAATCTCTGTAGCCTGAAAATGGCACTTGCCAAAAGGGCAAAGACAAGACGTGGGCTACTGACAGCATGGGAGAGTGAGAACTTTAAAACTGAGCGCACAGTTCTGGCATGGAAGTGGAAAGTAAACACTGGAATAATCCGTCAGACAGCGGTGGATGCTCCCTTTGTTGAGATCTGCCAGACGGGGTGCCTTCCTGGGAGGAATGGTTAAGTGCAGCATGAGTTACTGGGGGTCACTGGAGAGAGCTCTAGGGCTTACATTATGACTTGAAGCTAGATGACGTAAATTGCCTTTCTAACCTTAAATATGGATTTTAAGGTACAGTGAGTTCCAAATTGTTAGGCAGAATGCTTCATTTTCTTCACTGGACTATAAGAAAGAAGATATGCAATTCAATAAAAAGTATAATTTCTTGTTTTCGTCCCTTGCAAAAAGTTCGAGATTGTGGTGCTAACGAGTGCTGTGAAAGCTGAAGTGATATTTGAATGATGGTCATGATTCTGTTCCGTCACTAATAACAAGCCTTGTTTATGTTGTCAAATGAATAATATTACACAAGCAGCAAAAGGGTATGGAATAGGCTGTATCAGCGTTTATCTAAACAGACTGCATTCACCTAAACAAATCGGCTGCATGTTTCTAGCAGTCCAATTATTTTAATAATCCACAGTTGTATTTTATGGATGCTGAAATAATACTAAAAGTTGTTTCATGCAGTCTGTTTCATTCTGCTGGAACAGAACTGTGTAGGTATAGCAGTTATATTTTTAGTGGCAATCCTGTTAAATTCAAGTAGTAGTACATAATGTATGCTATTACACAGATGCTAAAGAAATGGTATAATCTGACACTGTTCTTGATTTTTAAAGTGTTCATGAAAAATAGATCTACTTGACTTTTTAAAAAGTGATTAAACATTAGAACATTGAGCAAAATTAACAGCATAGACGGTTGTTTTGCATCTGAAGCAAGAAAAAGCAAACACTTCGTACTTATGATAGGATTTTTCAGTTTTAATCATGATTTTTTTTTTCAACTTATCCTGATTTTTAAACTGGTTTTACAGTGATTCTCTTTCTTGAAGAAAACAAGTGATACATGAACTGTGTTTCCTAGTAGCTCTAAAACAAAGATTTAACTGCTTAATGGAAATTATGCAGACTCAGAAAATAGCAAGTAATATAAAATCACTGCAGTATTTATTGACTAGAAAGTATTTTAAGGATGATAGGGGAGCAGTGCTTATAGTAAATTGGTGTATGAAAGCGCATGATACTGTAGTGAATTCAGTGAAGCTACGTTATGTGCCACATTGAAGGTGATGATGCATTTTCTTTGTTATAACCTGCATCTTGTAAGATCTACGTTAGGGTGAAGATAGCTTCGTGTCAGTTACATTTAACTAAAAGCTCTAAAGAATTAAGTTTCCCTCAGTATCTAATCTGAGCCTGAGTGATCCTAAATGTAATACAATATGATACATTTTACACACTTGCAAAAACATTTTATTACAAATTACATTGTATGGTACCATATAACATGATATGTAATTTTAAGCAAGACTATATGTATGTTAGCTTTTTCATTTTTAAAAAATGTAGAAAATTAAAAATTTGCAACTTGTTTAAGAAAATAGCCTGGACGTGTAGAACGCTCAGTGAGAACTTTCACTTTTAGCTCTTAAATGTTTCAACAGTGAATCCTCGTCTATCATTTTGGATGATGACAGAATACTGGTCTCTGTATGAATTAGTAACCACACATAAAAACATTTCAGAGAATTTTGTGCCAGAGTCCCCACACAAAAGAGCGTTTAGAATAGGTTTATGGGAAAAGCTACTGGTTAGTTGAGACTAACTATTTGTAATCGTTCCCCATTGGGAGATGTTTGAGTTTATTTTCTTAAAATGCTAGGTGTGTTTGCATGCAGGAGCTTGTTAATCATTGCCACTATTGTAAAATATTGAATGTTGTTGTATTTTCTTCTTGTCTCTGCATTTGATATTTCTTTTTTTAGGAAAAATAACTTTTTCTTGTTTTTTGAAATATTTGGGTTTCTAAAACATGTAAGGTGGGCTGTCTTGTAAACAGTATTATAGCTTTAATTAAAAACGGTATAAAATACATGAAACACATTTTTCCATATGAAACAATTGCACTTCCTTCCTGGTACACAGGATCACCTTTTCAAATCCTTAGCTTTCACAGAAGTATTTCAGGATATTGTTTACTTACGTATGAGAACCTGTAGCCCTCTTGAAATTTACTACAAAGGTGACTTCTTCATTAAAGCACGCTGACGTTGGTTTTGAAGTGGACATAGACATCTTCCATAGTTGTGTTCTTATATTAACTTATTTTTCTTATTATTTTTTCCCCAAAGCAAAGAAAAAATTATTTTCCTCTTTTTTTGTGAAATTAGTCACTGATTTGATTGTGAGCTAAGAGAAAAAGAGCATAAATTAAAATTTTTCGGGTTTTTAGTATGTGCAAACTCTTCCGTAAATGATTGTTTCTTCCACCATTTTTGTCTACTTAATGATCGAAGAATAGATATCCCAATGACACTGTGGGGTATAAAGTTTCAAAAACAATACTTTGTGAACCAGTTTGTCACGTGACACTGTACTGCTCCAATTATCTTCACTCCTAAAAGAAAAGACAAGATTCCCATTCCCTAGCCAGCTCTAGCATTAGGCATTTCTCCCCAAACAGTCATTCTAGATAAGAATCTAATAACATTAGCAAATACGTAAAGGAAAAGATTGCAGTGTATAATTTAGAGCAAGATTTTAAGTGTCTTTAAAAAAAAAAAAAAAGAAAAAAAAAGGAAAAATTCAATCCACATTTCTTCACTAAGGGTATTGACTAGCAAGTACAATTAATAGATTATTTAGATATAAATTAAATATGTTTGTTGGGAGACCTGTCTTAAAAGGCTCAGCTAAATAAATGCCCTTGAAAATTATCTTGTCTAAACGGGTTTCAAAGCATGGTGCATGCTATAAAATTTCTGGTGCCTTCTGCAGTTGAGTACAGGTTTTCCAAAGGCTGTGTTACAAAAAGCTATTAAATTATGGCAAATGCCAACAAGCCATAGAGCCTTTTATCATAGGGGTTTGGTTTTTTGATTTTTTTTTTCCTGTTCCAGAGTGTTTCATTTAGACCTTTTGTGTACCAAAAGATTAAAAATGAGATCTAGGACGGTTTATTGTCCGATAACCTTGACCCTGTCAAATCGGTGTGGTTAACGGCATTGTCCTGACTTTGGGAGACTTCTACCTGCTCACCCACTGGAGATGAGCAACAAACTTGTTAGTCTGGTGATGAGGTCATAGCTAAATTAGAAAAGATGGTACAATGTTGAGATGTAATAACTTGGTTGAAGTTTACAAGACATGAAGGCAAATATACATATAGTCACATCTTAGAGATTGATTATTCATGGTCTCGGACCACATGAAAAATTGTGCTTTGTCCAGGATATCTGTGCTGAAAATTGCACTCCCCGATCCACATGGATTTGTAAAACTGAAGACGATTGCAAACATAAGGCTTGCCTCTTTTTTTTTTTTTTGTTTTCTCATTGGTGTTTAAAGACAATAAAACAAACCCCCAAAAGGCTTCAAAACAATAGTGATATTTAGCTGTGTACAGGATGGCAGCCTACAATTTAACAGGTTAAAACGTGATGCTTTCAGATCTAAGGGGGGAAAATAGTTTTACTTTCCATCTTTGTACAAATTTCAATTCAGGTTTTACATCCCACACTGGTGAACTGCAAATAAAAGTCAGCAAGGTATTACTTAATGCCTCGCTCCTGAACAGTAGTTTATAGGTACAAAGGCCTTTTTGGTACATGTGATGAGAACCGAATGCTGCCAGAATAGTCAGAACGACATTGGCTGATAACACTGATCAATTTACCAAGATCCCTTTTTAGATGATTGATAGAATTCCAAATATTTCTCAAAGAAGGCCTTGAACTCCATATGTAATGGACTTGGTTAAAGGAACCAGAGTTTCCATCTTCCATGCTTTTTTGATTCAGTTTTGGATTTTTGCTTGGGAGTTGAGGAGTAACCCTCCTGAGAATAAGGCAAAGGTGCAACCTGAGTTTCCTCAATGGGATGAAGTTTTCTCAAAACTGGCTGTAGTTTATCTTCTTGCTGCTTAAAATCCAATTCCACACTAAAAATGGGGGAAGAAAAAAGCAATTAGCTGCTAAATTATGGTGATACAAAGATTTCTATTAAGACAACATCTGATACTGATATCCAAGGGCTTAATTTATTAAAATTAAATACAGATCTCTGCAATTCTTGCAACAGAAGTGAAAGCGAGTAATAACTCTTCATATTGCGAAAGAAAAATGAGAAGACCTCATGTGACTGGATTGCGCAGACTTCTCCCTCCTGGTTAGGCGGACCTGGGGGATGGCTGCCAGAGTGTCTTAGTGTGCCTGAAGCCTAGGAATACTACTTTGCCCTTATCTGTATAGAGAAACGCGCTTTCCGAGGGTTTTCTTCTTTACACTGTAGCCATCTAGCATTTGCTGATAGCATCTAAACTTAGCCCTATTTCTAGCATAAAATATGAAAATCAACTTAGCTCCTGCTGCAACTGACTACTGAAACAAAACATCTAATGATATAGATCCATTTATTTAGCTGGACTAGATCTATAGGTAAAACAAAAAACCTCTTTGCTATTAAAATTTGGGAGAAATAAGGGCAATTACTCATTTAAGCATAAACTTGCATTCAAAAAATAAACCTAAGTTCTAAAATATACCTCCTGAGTTCTTAGCACTGTGCAGACTAAAAAATCCTGCCTGCAGTTAAGAAACATAATAAGGATGAAATTAGAACCCTAATATCAGCAGAGAGAATTTACCGTTCATTTCAAATTGAGCTTATGGACAAGTTCTGCAGTGATGCTTTTTATCTTATCCTGTGTGTTACACTGCAGCATGGCACACCTGGCTGTCAGAGGAGGAATTCGGGAGATTGGGCGAGATTAAGTTAAGAAAGGAATTTGGACCCTGGAAAGGAACGATTTGACTTTTCTTCCCTACCTGTTGCTTAATGCTTTACAATTAACAGTGTATGATCAATTTAAAGATCGCATTTGAGTGCATCTGTTGAGACACTTTGATAGGTTGTCCTTTCAGCTTTACCTCTGAGATTTCTTGGGTTTTCAATGACCTGCTGCTACAGTGTTGCATAAATGAGAGGTTATAGTTCCTGGTTGTCAGTTCATTTTTAGTAAGCATTAAATATGTTTTCTGAGTCCTTTTTCGCTATTGCTTGTTTAAACTATACCACTAGAGAAGCTGTGTCTGATTTCTTTTTCAGGCCTTAATGATTCCAGTGTAATTCATACTCTGCACTGGGGTGACTTATGGTTTTAATGTGGATCCAGAAAATGATTCCTTCAGCTATTCTCAAATTTAGATGTTTGGTTCCATATGTTTAAACAAAAAAAAAGAAAAATCAACTTCTATTACTACTCCTTCATTCCAGCTTTAGGAGAAGACACTCCACCTTGAATGTGTGCAAGCACACAGTACAGTACAAAACACCTCAAGTTTCAGAGGAAACTCTCCCAATAAGCTGGAATAATGGAAGTCGTGGGAGATTGTCTGGGGGTGGAATTTAATATTACAGCCTTTGCAAATTGAGCACACCTTATCTAATACTATCTTCTGGTTTAAGTGGATTTTATCCTCCTCTTGGAGAGAAGAGGGAATCCAAGATATTGACTAAAGTTTTGGGTTATTTTAGGCTTTTGTTTTTTGAGGAGATGATAAAGAGTCTGTGTCTCAGCACTTCCACTGAAGTCTCTGGAAAGGGCTGCTGGAAAGATGCGAGGTTGTTTTTGCTTTGGGCTGCAAGATCAGTCTCTAGTTTAATTGTTAAATGCCTATTTTGAGTAAAATAGTATTTTTTAGTGATTTGGATAAACTTTCTAATAGTCAGTGCAGGAGAAAAATACTTTGGTAAGGGTTCAGATATTCAAAACGTTTTCCCCTCCTGCATGTTTTTAAGTACTCAGAAGACGTTCCAAGTTGGAGATTTTTAAAATTTCAGATGTATTCAGAACAGTACCTATGAATACTGAATTTGCAGTAGATAGCTGTATTAGGTATCCTGTTACAAAATAAGCATACAGCAGGACTACTGATCACTCATCGTTAGTGAAACAACGATATCTTCTTCTTCAATGCCACGTTCATTCGTTATCCCTTGTTGGATAACAAATTCTTGTTTGCAGTTTGGCAAAAAGAAGTTGGCTAGATACTTGTGGCCTTAAATTTTTTTGGAAGATTAGAATATCAGCTGATTATGAATACCCTGCTGTATGTGTTTTCAGTACCACACTGGAAGACTCTCAGCATGAAACAGATTCTTCTCCAGCATCTCTGTAAAACTCATTTAGAGAGGCATGCAAATCTCTACAGAGTTTGGCTTACGTTATAGTTGGTTTGTTTTTCAATATATATTTAAAAACAGGCATTTCAGCCTTGACATAGGCATTTTTAATGCAACTGCTGCATTCAAATAGCTTTCTTGCAAACTAATGCTTTAGTGTGTTTTTGTTTGCTGCAGTAAAAGAACAAGATGATTTTTCTCTTATTTTTCACATTTTTCTAAATTTAGCGATCACTTACTTCTAGTTTTTAACTTTTTATTGAATATATGAAGTACTACTGAATTCAGTAAGCATACATATCTGACTTTTTTAGTTACAGAAATGAAGATATTTTGCACACTGTTAAATCTTTCCAGTTCTTACATTCATGAACTTTATTTTGTCACTTGTCACAGATTTGACAATTTTGTTTTGCTTAGTGACTGTTTTTTGTACCCTAAGTATCTATAAATTTCATCTCAAAATGACCTTTGCTTGAAATACTCTCTATGCCATATAGTTAGTACTTTCACATTCTCTGTTCTCACCTCTTCTTTGAGCCTTCCCCACAATAACCCCATCAATGTGATTAAAGTGAGGGCTATATGTTGTTCTAGCATTATGCGTGATAGAGCTTATTATTGGTTCCAGAAGGATTTCTCCTTAGTGAGGTAAGGGTGAGGCAACAGAATAAGTTCAGTAGCTGCAACTACAAATGTGAATAAGCCCTCCAAGAACGAGAGAAGAAAATAAATATTGCATATGATGCCAGTAGTACAACTTACTACTAGAATTGTTGGACCTTCTGATGAGGACATACTAAAAGTTCAGTCACTTACAATGTTGCCAAACCAAAAAGGCTTGGAACTTCCCCTGTGTAATGCCTCTCTCAATTTTTTCCAGGGTGAATAGTTACGGTGTTTATGAAGCGGTATAGGCAGTAAAACTTTGTTTGGGCTAAGAATTCTGGTTGACTTCTGCATTTTTCCCCCCAAGCTACTATGTATTTACATGGTCTACAACAGAAACTTTACATTTTCAAGGGAGCGTGTGTATCAGAGTTTGGATATCCAAACATTCCCGTGAAAATTTGGCCGAACGTGTTAAAATGACAGACTTTTGAGCATTTTCTTCTGACATGCTCATTAAACATATGAAAGAGCTATGTAATTAAAATCTCTAAAATTCATCGAAGTGAGCAAGCTGTGTCGAGGACTGAGCAAGACTGCAAATTCAGCTCTGAATTATGTTAGGTGGTGCTGGAGCTGAGCCCCAAACCTGAGAACACGAAGACTGCTTTTTCTGTCTTGTTTTCTGCTAGTGACTGACACGAGTGCAAAGCGAACACAACATGTGATTTACTCCCCTTCCTCCCCGTTTCCAGGATCATAATTTATTGCGCAGGATGGATGTGCAGTAAATTGATGGATTAGCCTAGTTGAGACATGAATGAAGATCTAACTTTGTCCATCGGAAGCATTACTCACTTGCTGGGGAAGTTGGATTTGTGGTGAATAAGGCAGCGTTGCAAAAAGAGTCGCGGGGCAGCAGTAGGGCAGTTGAATGCTGCCTTGAAAACTGTTTTGGTTTTTTTGGTTGTTTTGCTTTGGGTTCAGTGTCCCTTTGCCTTTGCTTTTTTGCATTTGTGAGATGAACTATTGTGTTCTGAGAACAATGAAGCACTTGGATGCTGTGGTAATGAGTAGCACAGAAAAACTTGTAGCAAAATTAATACCATTTTCTGTGTAGAATTTGAATTGTAATCAGGAAATAAAGAGGAACAAAATACGTTGGATAGCTACTCATCAGTGGAGGACTGTACAGTTAGTACATGAAACCCTAAGGCACTTGGGAGGGCAGCAGAGAATTGTGTGACTTCTGATTTAAGGACTCGCAGTGCCCTAGCGCTGGTCACAGCACAGCTCCTGGGGGCCTCGGCAGGGCACGGATGTGCCTGTGTGTATGCGCTGCGTAACCGTGCAGATCAAATCCAGCGTTTTACGAGACGTGTTGTGATGACGCCTGTGCGCAGGGCCGGTCGCGCGATGAGACGGTGCTGCACAGCCTGGTGTTGGTAGGGGCAGGGGGGCCAGTTTGGGCACTGCAATCCAGGCACGCACGCACGCTGGCCGACTTGCTCATGCTACCTCCTGGCTAATCGTGTTTTTCCAAGTGTTAGACTTAGTACTGTGGATTAGAGTTTGGGTGTCTTTGGGATTTTTGTGCTTTTTTTTTTATTGTGAGAATGTGTTAATAACTGAGTTTATTTTTACATGCTGATAGAGTGAACTTTGAGCTTTTTCTAATTTTGTTGCTGTACAAGGCATCGTGTATGGAGTTTGAGGAGTCATACCCACTTGGTTTGAAGCATACGGAGCGTGGGAGGATATCTAGCAACAAACTTAGATACTCTGATGGGTTTACTTCTCTTCTAACATCGTCACACGTGATTAGCACACATCATCGCAGCCCGTCCCACTGCTTTTCTCCTTGCGGGGAAAGAATTCCTCTGTTCAGCCCAAACCTCCCTCCTTCGAACTAGACGTGGCGTGTGCTGCGCAGAGGGGACAGAGCCGTCCCTTGCTGCGTCTGGGTCGGGCGGCCCCGGGGCTCCGGCTCTCCGCTGCCGGGGCACGTGGGTGGCTCCTCTCGGCCTCCTGCCGCCAGCCGTGAGCCCCCGGGCCGTTTTGGCAGAGCTGCTCCCAGCCGGGCAGCACCAGCCCGTGTCGCTGCAAGGGCCTTTCCTTCCTGCGGGCAGGTCTATGCGGTTGTCTTTG